CATGAGCACATTGCAGTAAACACTTGATAAACAATCAAAATCCAATATTTTAAAAAGGTTAAGTTTCACCTGTTCAACTGTTGCCCGATCTGCTTTATCAGTATTTCTGCTTCTGCCGATTTCTGTTTCCCTGAGACTTCCACGAATCGCAGTTGTCACAGAATTTGACATTCCAACCTGAACTCTACCTTCCCATCCCTGCGTCCCCAACCAACTTATATCAGTTTCCAAATACATAAACCCTAAAAACTCAATGTGCATTTGAGCATTTCAAGTCACAATCTTTGACAAAGATTGCTAAAACCCTAAACCCTAAACTCCAAATATCAAATCATTAAAATCCAGTAACATCAATGGTCCAAGAGAAAGCGAAATATCAAATTAATACAAGACATCAAAGACATTAAAACCTCAAATCGATCAGATATTTGGTCAATGTGCAAAGAAGCACACTAACAGAGGTACGAAATGTTACCTCCAATGGAGAAGCACGGACATGACTAGAAAGCTTCTGCGCCTTGTTTGAAAGAGGCTGAAGAGCACCAGAATTAGGTCGAGCTCCATGTCCACCGTGAGCATTAGGGCGACGCGCATGGAGAGAGAACCCACCACCGATGAGATCGTCATCGTCTTTACCATCGAGCCAGTCAAGAGCTTCACCGATATCGGAATCTGAAGAAGGAGAGAGATCGTCGTCGTCATCATCTACAAACTCCTCTTCGTACTCCACAACCGGAGTAATAGTCGGTGGTGGTTCTGCTACAACTTCCTCCATCGTTTGTGTTTTTTTGGGGGAAGCGGCGAATTACCGGCGAGCTGCGAGAAACAGAGGAAGAAGATATTTCCGTTCGAAACCCTTTTTTTCTCTTTAGTCAGACTAAAACGGCATCGTTTTATCACTTCATGAATTTAGAAATGTTTGGATATCCGGTTTAGTTCGGGTTTGAATTTTGTCTTGGTAGTTTTATTGGGTTTTGAAAATTTCGATTTGGTTTGGGGAATTCAGTTCGGGTTGGG